AAACTTTGACCTGTGAACCGGAGATGCCCAATAGTCGGCCACTGTTGATTTCCAACGACTCAGTTAGATATATGTAGAGAGGAGCAATAATTTAAAGAGGGCTTTAGAGGGTTCTGGGAAATTACAAATTAATAAAACCTTTCCAAACTTCAATATAATATCCGCTTTGGGTTTTCACAATTTGCAAAGTCTTTACGATATTCTTTTTATTTAATACAACGATGCTTTTTAGAATGGTCTTTATAATATCCTAATATGAAATGTATGGTTCTCGTAAACGTTAAATGTTGTGTGTAATTTACAGATAACAATGTAATCCAAAGCAATGACACGCCTTTCACATCAAAAGTAACAAAACCAAGATTCTCAACGACATTATCTTATATTTGTTTGAAAACACAACATCCTTAAAGTAAGTACGTCATTCCCTTATTACGCAAATAAGAAGACAAATAAAATAATGAGCTCCTTTCTTGTGAAATTTTGTCTAAATGTATGAGATAAATTCTCATTATAGTTATAATTATCATCATTAACATCAACTGTGCAAACTTTCCGGAAGCTATCTTTATACCTACATAAAAATCTCGTTAGACAATAAGTCATTGATGAACTCTGTTGATAATCACATTGAAATACTACTAAACCAATTTGGATGTTTCACATAATTATTTGTAACTTGTTCTAATCTTAAAAATAAATAAATTTTTATTTCAATTATTTATCTCTAGGAGTCACAGTAATGAGAAGCTTTGTATCACAGAATTGTCCAAAAAAGTGAAGTAGTAAGTTTCTTAATACACCATACCTTTTGACCTATCGGTTTCCAGAACATCGAATTCCTTTTAGTTATACATTAACGCGTTATGGGACCTTTAAGTGTTATAATAAATTTGAATGTTATCATTAGAAACGTTACATCATCTCAAATGACATCAATATAGCGGACGTGTGGCGCCATCTTTAATTAAGGCAATATGGGGTACAAAATTAAAGGCCTTGATCCCGAAGATATATATAATTTATATTCGTCCGAGTCCGAGAGATTCGAGTAGCTCGGTGGCGCAGTGGATAAGCGCCGCGGCCCGCGATCGTAATCGTTAAGCAACTTTCGCAAGGGTCGGTAACGGGGAGTGTGACCTTAAATTATTATCTCGAGCTACTCCGTGCTTCGGACGGCACGTTAAGCCGTTGGTCCCGGCTGCATTTGCAGTCGTTAATACCCTCCAATCCGCATTGGGCCAGCGTGGAGGGTCATGGCCCATCCTCCTTAACCATCCATAAGGAAGGCCTGAGCCCCTGCAGTGGGGACGTAAAAGGGCTGGTGATGATATTCGTCATTTAACATAACTACTAAATAGGCATAGCACCATAGTTTGAACAATTTCACATTATCTACTTCGTGTGTTCAAAAGTTTTGAGATAAACTTTTTACTGAAAAAAATAAATGTTACTGGCTGTTATTTTATTTTTCTTACCGATTTTGAATTTCAAATGTTAACTCTTAGTTTATTTGTGTCACAAATTCATTTGTTTATATTTTTTCGTAATAAAAGTAACGAAACAATTACGTGCAACTGTCATTTCGCTATTTAAGGCGGGAAAAAACAAATGCAGATTTTCCGCGAGCTGAAAAGTTTTAATGTAAGCCGTAACTTCGTATATTACACAATACAGAGGTACAAAGAGACAAGTTCTCTACAAGATCACCAAAGGAGAGGTCGGCCACGCTCTGCGAGAACGCCTGCGAACATCAAAATCATCCGAGAGTGACTTCGCCGAAATCCATGTCACACTCAGAAGATACTCGCTCTGTAGACTAATATTTCGCGCGTTTTGGTGTACAGAATACTGAAATATGATCGTAAGGTAAAGGCCTACAGCCGTCGAAAAGATCACTTTTTAAACGATTGTCTTCGTAAGTTACGACGCGAACGTTGTCCATTGCTGCTGAGGAGACATGATGCCAGGAAGATACTCTTCACTTACGAGAAATTTTTTACTGTCGAAGAAAAGTTCAACCGACACCTGTCTCATATGTTATTTTACAATAAGGATCGGGTTTTTCAGCAAGACTCGACGCCATCCTATAAGGCAAAAAGCACCCAAGCTTGGTTGACGGAGAACATGCCGGCCGGATATGAAAGGCCCTCCTGCAGCCCCCAACCTCGACCCGATGGATTATTCTTTAAAGACTGAATCCGAGCTCAGGGCCTGCCGAAAGTCCCACCCAAACTTAAAGTCACTGAAGCGAACCCGTGTTCGAGAATCAAAGCGAAATTCGCTAGAAAAGAATCGTAACATTGATAACTGGCCAAACCGTCTAAGTGCCTGTATTACAAACAAGAGTGGTCGTTTTGCATAAAATAAATCTTTTATTGTAAATTATTATCTATTTATGGTTATCGAAAATTTTAGAAATATTAAAAAAGTTACGCAACTTTTATTTCGTCTCAAAATTTATGAACACACGAGGTATTTAATTTGTTGTATTACTTTTAATAATTTTTATTTCAAAAATCAATACAAATCCTCTACTCCATTTCATCTTCATGTCTCAATATTTTCTCTCCATAAGAACCTTCTTCGACCCTCAAGAAAGAAGAACAAGAAGAAGTCGATAAATCACCATTCTCATTTTGTGTCCCGGGTATAAAATTAAATGCGTATTTAGTTAAAAACTTTAAAGTCATCCATCAATACAAATGAAATAGATCAAAAATTTTAACTAAATGTAACTCATTAAGTATCTAATTGCAGCAGCCATTCACTGAGAAACGATCACCATTATATAATATAAAGACTTCACAAAACAAAAGATACACTCAAAGCTCAAGGGTGTTGTCTGAGAGCAAACTTTGCGCCTACTAAATGTTTAAATTCGTTTAATTTCGTTCACGAATTTCCCTACCCAATTGTTTATACAAGAGCCCATTGTTCTAAATAATCCCCATTTGCTATGGTTCGCCGAAAATCAATGTCAACGAAGTTTTAATTTGAAATTTTTATTAGTTTGCAAACGACCGTTGTTTGCCCCGTTCGCAGAGCTTGTTAAATAATGAACCTTTGAGAGATCTATGTAAGGCAAAAATATATTCGTACATGGTCATTATGAGGTGATACTTAGTCTCTACGTAAAACATCATAACCACAAATAAATAAAAATTAAGACTTATTTTGTGCTAATTGTTATGTAATAATCATCTTAGTATTATATATCTAAACACCTCCTTTGAAATCAACAAATTTGAGCCATGATCTAATTACATTTAGCTTCAAGCCTCCACGCATTTACAATTTTGTTTAATTTTGTTGAATAATGCATAACTTATATGTATAAGCTCTAGGACACGTAACTTCATACAGATAAAACTCTTAAAAATGTGTGTGCGTATGTACTGTACATATCTACGAGTACTATTATAACTATATTTTTTACCAGTTCTCTTGCCAGAGGGATTGATTAGAATAAGTTTTTGGGACCTAAATCACGTTGTGTACATACGTTATTTGCTACATATTAATAACTCGCAATGATTCTTCACTCAAACTCTGATTTCTACACTCTTCCATTTAATTTCATAATTCTTTTCTCCGGTATTCTTTTCACATGTCCAAACTAATACAGCATGCCTTGTTATCTTTTACATCAATACTATCTTTCATGGCAGCATTATTTCGTGTTGTTGCATAATATATCGAATAACAATCGTACGCATTAAGTATTATATCTATGATAAAATATTAAGGAGGTTCTAGAAAGTTACTAATTAATAAGACCTACCCTAAGTTTATTTCAGAAGTTCGCACAAATTTTGCATTCAGCTTAAATTCTAAAATTAAGGTTGTAAGGATTCCAATCGTCCCATAGTATCTCACCAGTTTTTACGACTTTAATAAAGACGTTCTCGCGACTCTTAAATCTGACCCTAGTTCTTTCCTTCTCTGTTTTAGATAAATATTAGATGACATTAATAACATGGAATTAAACGGAAACTAATTTTATCAATTTGTATCTATATTATCTGGCTCCTTATTCACTGGCAAGGGAGTTCGAAACACTTTTATATAACTTGCCGTGTATAATTCTGAGTTAAATCTTGTGAGATTTTGTCCCATTAACACTTTTCGATGGAGCTGAAAATTTGTATAATGATGATGAACTTACATGACAATATAATTTTAATATGGAATACAGCTGATCTGATGATGAAAGATAGCATGAGACTTCTGTAGCTAAACGAAGCAAATCCATCTAATTTAGGCTAGTTTAATATGTTTTAATTAGGATCTTGGTCCGAGATTATATACAGAGTTTGATGATGACATTGGAATATGGCCATAGCAATTTTGTTACAATTTGAGCTTGTTTGATTTGACTATACATGACATCTGGTCCAAGACTGCGTGGTCTTAAAAAAATCTAATTTTAAACTAATCTTCATAATGAAGATTATGAAGTAAAGTTGATGTTTATAAATTAAAAAATAAAATTTTCTATAATCATTTCGATTTTGCGATAAAAATATAATTAATAAATACACCAATAACTTGTAGCACGCTTAAAGTCTTTATAACCACAAAGTCTTTATAACATCTGATCTAAAATCGGGAAGTAATGTGAGTTTTTATAATATTTATTAAGTGTTATTTTCCTGATACAAAATGATACAAAGTATACGAATACAAATTTTTCTTCTGTAATACTTCGGAGCACATTATTGCTCTTCTATTTACTTCTGAAATATTACATCATTGTAATAAATCTCTGTGTCTGTATCAGGTCGTATTCATAACAATGTTTTACCATTTTTATAGTTAATGATTACCGTTTAGGTTTGTCTATTAAACGATAATGGATAAAACTGCAAACAGGCCGTGCGTTGGCCTTAACCAATGAACAACCTAACTATCCAAAAGGTTCGCATGCTATTTGTTAAATCAAACCATTAAATTGTACATATAGTTGTTATTATTGATATCACTGCGTAAAGTTTAATTCTGTTTTATTTTGTATATTATTCTACAAATGTGGGTTTGTTAAATTTGGCTAGGATCCTCCTTAGTGATCTGTTCTTTCGCATCAACATTCTCTTGTCTCTTGCGGGAGAGGCACGCGGTGATGGGTACTGCCAATCTGGACATCTGAAATAGACAATGATCATGAAAAAAAAACAATCTAAATAATACGTAATACGGTCTGTCCTTAGCGCATATCTCAAATTTTTTGTGTTTTCGACTTCGCCCACTTAAATTACAGCCAACGTTACCCGCGTTTGTTAGCGTCTCACTCACTCACTTCTCATAAGTGGAATAATTTTCAAAATGGATCCCGTAGTTTCGGAACTTATTCAATACAATCGAACAAAGGGTTTTACCATAACTTTGCCCGTGTAAGTTATAGCCTTTACACGCGCGCCTGATTCCTGGTCACGGAAGAGGTTTTAAAATCAGATCCATAATTTTGGAGCCTTTTGAATACAAAGAAATAATCAACTATTTCCTTTGGTTTGGTAGCCGTTTTATAGCAAAACAACACCATAACATTGAGTGTACGTTTGAACTCAACAATACATAACATGCAATAAAAAATATATATCAACGTAATCCATTGAGCGGCAGCTATTGTGTTGAATCGATAAGGTTGTTAGCTAAATGACAGCGGGGAGCGTACCAGAACGTTGTGACATGTTCAAACTGTACTGATTTCTCATATTTTCACGCGCACTACTCTCGCTAATAAAACTACTTATAACGTTTAAAACACATAGGTTGTCTGGAAGAATTGCTATCCAGAAATAAGGCCGGCCGCCTTTTGCATAATATTTCTTTCTTTCTCTCGCTGTGTAATTCTTGTTTTGCCCTGTGTTGTGGGCAATAAAGTATATTACAAGTATTATAATTATTTATATTTAATCATCTTAAGACGTTGCGGATCCTTAACAGGTTTTGTTAATCATTTAGACTGAGACGTTTATTGTCTTTTTATTATCAAAATACGACCTTAATAAAAATCTTCAAACAATACTTATTGGACATATTCACAATGAGTTCAGTAACTATTGTTTAGGATCTGAACGATCCGAAGAACCTGTAAAGGTTCCAAAAAGTTTTAAACGGATCAATTAATTAACGCATTTTATCCCTTAACCTCCTGAGTGAAATGGTAGTATATTTACAACATAGAAAGAAAAAATTCTTATAGCGCCATCTCACAAAATCTGCTCGTACTTTTAATTTTATCGAGTAGTCTAAATATCTGTCCGCTATACTGAGTTGTGGTTGGCTAAAGAAGTGGCATAGATTTTATTTTATCATTAATTTCACGGGGACGATGTCGTCGGTACCGAAACCGCGTGGTAAGTTTGGTTGGATTTATTATGAAATACTATGTTTTTTGTAAATATTTTAGTAGCTATTTATTTGTTTTGATGCATTTATCCGAGTTACACAATATTTCAATCATTGTAATGCGTAGTACCCACAAAATTAACCATAAAATCTTTATGTTGTACTAGTAATACATAAGTTCCCAACGACGAGTGTGTTCACGGTATTACCAGTGTAGTAACTGTACAACGTAAAACATTTACACTTATTTATTATTGTATTGATAGGTTTGCGTGAAACTGAAATAACGGACATGTTGGAGGAGTCTGATATTGACTTGTCGGATGAAGATAACCAAACAGAAGAAGTCCATTCAGCAAGATATGGCGATAGCAGTGACTCCGACCCTGGATCTTCGAATTCTTCGGGCTCAGAAAATGGAATCCACCCGGAGTCTGAAAATTCATTCTGTTTTTCTGTCGTTGATACCCCCGGTAGTCATGCAGGTAGACCCCGCATACGTGGTGGTCGACCCAGAGGCCGTGCAAGAACCAGATGTGGTCGAGGACAAAGCGCAGTATCGACACCGTCATCGGTAACCGCTAATAATACATGGACCGGTAATTTCTCTCCTTTAGAAAAACCTTTGTACCAGCCAAGATACTTGTTACTAAATACAGAAACATGGGAAGACGAAGATTTTTTCAAACAATATATAACAGACAGCATTCTTGAACAGATGCTGGATGTAACAAACAGAACATATCTTCTAAATAAAGGGCAAGAGTTAAAGATGACGCTAAAAGAATTAAAAAAATTATAGGCATCCTGTTAATTATGGGGTCTATTAATTTGCCAGCTATAAGTATGTATTGGTCAGGTAAATACGGAATTCAAATTAATTAGTCTGCGTTGAGCCGAAAGCGATTTTTTTCTATCGAGGCATCTTTGAAAATGGTATATGATGCCGACGTGACTGATCAAGAGAAATTCAACAAAATCTGGAAAGTGACCCCACTTTTTAAAACTGTATTGTCTGGATGTCATAATAACCCAAAAGCAGACCATATAAGTATCGACGAGATGATAATTCCATTTAGCGGCCATTGTGGAATCCGTCAATACTGTCCGGGAAAACCAAATCCAGCTGGTATTAAGGTCTTCGTTTTGGCGAATCCTAATGGACTCGTCTATGATATGGTAGTTTACCAAGGCGATACTACCTTTCCGGAGCTCAGAGCTCAAGGCTATACTTTAGGGGAGTCAGCAATTCTCGAACTTTGTGAAACACTAGTTCCTGGTCACTCTATCTACTTTGATCGGTATTTCACCACAGTAAAACTGGTCGAAACTTTACTAGAAAGAGGATTTTATGCAACAGGCACAATTCAAAGAAACAGGATTCCGAGAAACTGCGAATTCCTTCCTGAAAAAAAAAATAAGAAAAAACCCAGAGGAACCTCAGAGACTTTATCTCAGGTAGATGGGACGATTGCTGTAACGCGATGGTTAGATAATAAGCCCGTTTTAATTGCATCAACGCAATACGCCGCTTCTGCCCCAGATCATTGTAGACGGTGGTCCAAACGCAACAAGAGGTATGAAATTGTAAGCCGGCCAGAAGTTATTAGGAACTATAATCAGTTCATGGGCGGTGTGGAACTGGCCGACCGAATGTTATCAGTATGTCCAGCACGCGCTCGAACCAAGAAGTAGACATTGCGTTTTATAATACATATGATCGATTTGGCAGTATGTAACTCTTGGTTTTAATTCAAAGATCGTGAAATCCAGCATAATACACCCGCAAAAAACATACCTCAATTAAGGGCATTCAGGTTATCACTCGGAGAATCAATGATCAGTAAAAACATACTATCCTCAGATTCCGAATCCTGTGACGAGATTGAAGAACTGCAGCAAAAACATAAGAAACGCAAGGTTATGATTCAACCGATACCAGCTAAACATGCTCGCTACCACAAAGCAGAACATTTAGTTGCTTATTCTGATACACAAAAGAGATGTAGAAATTCTCATTGCAAAAAACATACTACTGCATACTGTATCAGATGCAATGTATTTTTGTGCAGCACTAGAAAACGAAATTGTTTTGTAGAGTTTCACACACCAAACTTTTGATAAGTCATTACTGTTTTTTTTTTATTTTAACTTTTTAAAACTAAGTTTATTTTATAGAGATTATATCGAGACTGACTTACATTAATCTAGTTTAGTAAATCTACTGACTGTGATATAAAGTACAAAAATATGTAAGAGATTAGAGCTAATTTGCTGACTGTGATTTGTAAAAGAGTACTAAGACTAATTAGTAAATAAATGCCTCGTTACTTGATTTAAAATTGTGTTTTACTGTAAAATACACTATATGAGCCTTTACCCAGGCAATATATTATATAAATAAAATAGTTTATTAAAACATTTACTATGTTGTAAATATACTACATTTCTTAGTTTAGGTGAATAGAACTGATGTTGTATATATACTACATTGAGAAAATCTAGATTTTCAGACAGATATTTTTTTTATTATTTTTTTGAGAGTCTACGTTACTTAATAAATTAACCCAGATAGTTTTTGATTATATTTTTGAAAAAAAATGTGTTGGTTCTCAGGAGGTTAAAGTAGTTTCATTAATGATCAAACTATTTTGGCAATAAAGAATTCAGTCCTTTAAAAATTGTATATATCATTCGCAACATCACTCATTGTACTAAATTATGTAATGCTAAAAACATTATAATTATGGTAATACCGTTATAAGATAATTGTATATCTAGCGCTACTGTTAAAATTTAATGCTAGTGACTTGAGTATCAAAATACGGCTGCACCACTATAATAAATAAATAGCATTATAGGTAATATTGACATATTCGAAGGTAAATTATTAATACACTCAACTATATACAATTCAGAGTAATTATTCAAACTTTGAATAGCCGTTATGCTATTGAAAAACGACCTAAAGCGGGAAAGCTAAATAATATTCATAATTATATAATTTGAGTTAGAAATATGATACGAAACAACTATATGAATTATGATTTATTAATTATTGTTTATTCATAAATTACCCACATTTACATTAAAATTTATTGGCAGTGGCATTTTATTTTTATTATTAATTTATTTTTATTTTATAATAAATCGCTTACACTCTTAACGCTGTCCCTCGCACCGGAATACATTATATGAGCATGTCAGTTAAAACGTGACGCGTGAAAAAAAACAAGTGGGGGCCATTTTTCGTAGAAGGATAACATTTTTTGGGTTGTATTAGTTATAATACGGCATTTTCTTCAGAAAATGACCAGGTACTAGAAATTTAAGACAATAGAAACCCTTATAGATAGAAGAGATTAGATCTGATAACGTTATGACATTATGAATCATACCTCTCTCGGCTTGGCAACATTTTACATGAAAATGTTTTTGATAGAATTATGTTTTTTTTCTAGTTATATTAAACTGCATGAAAACATTAAAAATACTGAGAAGTAAAATAGCAAATCATTGAGATAAAAAATCTCAATATTTATTTTATTCAAAGTTTAAATATACGATAACGCATAACATAGATTATTTCTGAGAATTTTATGTTAACTTTATGTCAAGCTATCAGTCAATAGCAAATCAAATTCCAGCTCTTTGATAAGTAAACGTAAAACAATATTAAGGAGCAAATACACTATTAATGTTTCGAGTTCAAGATTTATTAATAAGATTTTTAATAGTTTCTACATGAAAAGAAGAAATACCAAAAATAAATTCTTTTTTCATCTACACCATTCCGTTGAGTCAGTCATCGAAGCGTTAGAATTTTTTAATATTTAGATTTTTAACGGTCCATCGCTTTTTGGTGTATTTTGAACTGCATTCCCAGTTTTTGAGAAAAAAAACATATACAGGCAGAAAAAATGTAAAATACTGAAACCTTTTTCAAGATATCATGAGACCAATTTAGGTACATGTACTATAAATTACATATACACCAATAACTTTCAGCATCTCCCACATTAAATAAGTGTAACTTTTCAGTTTTAATATTTAATGAATTCGAATTAAAGAATTTAAAACTTAAGTTTATTTGTAAACCCGTATACTTCTGTTAAAAATGTTTAAATTTTTATACATCTTTACATGAGTTTAAAAATGATAACGGAGTTGATTTAATTAGTAATTATCGTTAATCAATGTTTTTCAACTGTTGCTACACGTGGGTTTATTTTCCATTAATTATCAATATAAATTGATTACACAACATCATTAATTAATAATCCGAGAGTTATAGGCGTATATTATTTTTGCTATGGAAATATTATTGCATAACCAAAAGCATAGAACAGACTAATATGTAGTCTTATTTGCTTGTATTTATTACGGATCGAACATATCCCAAAATTACCGACGCAGCCGAAAGTTTCAAGTTAGGTTACATTCATTTTATTTGACAAATAGGTATTGCCACAAAATCCACAAGCAGGTATGAAATTAAGGTTTCAAAGTTATAAAAACGAATACTAAGAAGGCGAAACATTCGCAAGTATATTATTTTTTGTATATATGCTTATATTCTTACGTAGAAATAAAACTGTTAATTTTTACAGTTAATTACAAATTAAAGCGTACTGAAATTTTAATATTGTTCAAAAATAAAAACATTGATACATATTATGACATTGATAGCGAGAGTTAAAAGCGGGATTTACCACAACATATAACCATATCCGAATCCTATTGTGTTCGTTGGCCTTAAGCTCGCCTACACTTCTATTGTGTTCTGAGCGTGACATTTTTTTTGTATATATTTTCCTCATCACCGTCGATCGATTAATATACATATCGTGTGTTTATCTATCTGGTAGTAGATAAATAACAATTGAGTTGAGGAAAACCGTACATAATATTAGAAATTCTATGAACAAAGTGTATAATCTGACAATATTTTGTAATAAAAACTATGTGAGACAACACTTCGTAAAGAACGTTTCTATTCTTCTTTGTTTTGGTATCCAATATAGTGTGGTAGGATATATAGTGGGAATTGGGTCATGGTCCACTACGTAGACCCAGTGCGTATAGCTAAGTGTTAACGACTGCATATGCGGCTAGAACCAATGACTTAACGTTGCCTTCAGAGAAAGGAGGGGTTTATAATAAAATTTGGCCGCCCATCCTATGACTGGCACTTTCTAATATCGCTGGGAAAATACACCTTCAGCCTTAAGCCAGGGCTCTCCAACTACTTCGCTCTGAAAAGATTAATGAGGAAGGTCTACCTAACTACCTACCTACCCCTTTTCAGGGCGGGGTAGTTGGAGAGCCCTGGTTATCACCCCCGGCCTCACAGCTAAACATGCTATCTATTTACAAATATCTCATTTAAACTATTTTAACTTATTGACATATAAAATAAGACAAATAGCAGAAATTGGTATTTTCAAAAAAAATTAAATTGTTCAAAATTTAGCGCCTTTTATCTCAAAATTCCCGCCAAAGAATCCTCCCATGCCGTGTCTGCAGCATGACGGTGAGCATGCGAACACTCATACATACAGTCGTACTACATACTTCCACATTCACACAATCACATACATACATGAACAGAACCATACACACATTTGCACATACAAATGACATTATTTTAGAATTCAGTGACGTGGAGATATTCCCCCGTTCTCGTGGGTTCCCCTATTTGAAAACAATCTTCTTTCTTGCTACTGTTAGATTCCGGTCTTTCATGTACAGACTTCTGTCCGATTGCACCGGACCCACGTCCTGTTCCACATCGTCTCCTTTGTCCCTACCCTTTAAAGGCTTTGACTTTTGAGTCGTTTACTGGCCCTTGCGAAAGATGCTTCACTTCCGCATCATAGATCAGACGATCTAAGCATTGTAGCATCGAACTCTACATTTGGCGACAAAGATAAAACTTATTCAAATATTAGTATGTAAAAAACCTGGTATGAACTTTACTAAATATAAATGAATGAAGATTACATTTGTCGGTCAGAGTGAACGTATAGGGAAAAATGGTGAAGAAAAAATTTAGAAAATGGTGGTTCTCGGTCAGAGTGAACGTATCGGCGTACGTGTTGAGGAAACAATTCAGAAAATGTTGAAGCACATATCAAACTTAACCTTACCAAATTGTTTATTGTGTTCTATACGATAAACTCAAAAGATAAGTGGTTTAATAATAATATTTTTTTGTCAGAAATTTCATAAATTTTACACTCCAATGCATTTCGCTCAGGTTTATAAAGTGGCCTAGCCATGGCATAAAATCCAAGTTTTTGATTGGGATGAATATTTCCATCACATATTTTTGACAAGTAAATATGACTTTTAGTTCTAACATTATAATTTACTTTACTTACTTTTCTACGTCCGGTAACGTCTGTCCTTTGCATCGGGCCTCCCATTTAGGCCAATACTTGAATCCCTCCATTTCGAATACCTTCTGAGCGCAGCTAGCGTCGTCTTTTATGTCATTATCCAGCAAAGCTTTAACAAGAGATCAGATTAAATATTAATTATCAATCAATTTAAACACACTATGAGGCTTATGTTATTTCATTTATAAATTAAACCGTTTAAAAGTTGTTTCATTTATGGATAGTGCGCGTGAAAATATAAGAAATCAATTATTTCATTTAGCTTACAATTAGGTTATATAAAATTTTGAAATTTGAATTAAAAAAATTATATGGCTATTTTCATATTGTAATAGTTTAGATTTATTTATGTATGTAATAAAATAATTTACTTAGTTTCTTTAATAAAAACAATATAAATCTAAAAACTCAGTATCTACTCTAAAAAATAGAGATACTTAATTTGAATAAACTATTACTTATATTTTCAACGAAGTATATTCTAAGAACCAATTTCACGGGTTTCGGATAAGTTATATAAGTTTTAAAGAAATTCCGGTTCTCCACTCTTAAAATCGACATTCGATATAACGGCCATTGCATTGTATTTTAATTTTTGTACCGTCGAGTTGAACAAGGTAGACTCGATGAAGTACTTATTTTATCGAATATTGATTTTAAAATAGCTCCCTGTTCTATTTTTAAATTAAATAAGAAGCAGCTTATCCTGAATCTGTAAAACTTGACTTAAGTCGGTTCAGTATTTTTATTTATATTCTCTACTAAATAGTGGATATTTTCTCATACACTTACGGTAACTCTACTCTGTTTTATTTTTCCTATGTATACTTACATTCACATGTGATATCACATTTACCACCTCTTCGCCCCTCTTTGCACCATTCACTACCAATCTGGAATAAATAATACTGTTAAGGCTAAATGGCCCACTATATACGAGGTAGTTATAAAGAAACAGAGATAATGGGGTTCGGCCGTAATACACATGTTACACTCTACTTTTCCCTTCCCTTCCCTTATGGAAAATAACTCACTGTAGGTATTAAATAATTTATTTTATAGAACTTTGATATACGATTTGTAGAATGATGTTTATCTAGACATTTTTTAAATTTCCCCGATTGGGAATCGCAAAGAAAAAGTCTTAAGTTTAAGAGAGCGTTAATAAGGGGTCTGACAAAGTGATACGATCACACTAACCCAAAGCGTTTTTAGAAAGTGCTATGCAAAGTATCCGTTTTAGAAATTAAAGCATGGAGGCCCATAACTAAGGATGAGCCTCCATGCTTTAATTTCTAAAAATATCGTTCAAATTCGAATTGGGCTTGCGCACGAAGAATTCTGTGTATTTGGGAAACCCCTAGAATATTCATTTTATTTATTTAAAACAGCTTATTATAAGGTATGCGATTATATAACAGATAAGAATGCTTGGACTTGAGATGATTCCAGCAACTGGATAGGTGATTACTTCTTAACTCATTATATATCAAACATTATCTTGCTTCCATTATTATTAAATGATTGTGTTATCATTATAAGACCATGGTTTTTTTTTATTTTCTCTCTCTTTATTTATAATGTATTGATCTGGTAATGACATGTTTTTTGTAAATGTCATTACTCCTATTAGTACTGGTGAGTTTCTTGCTCGTTCTTCTTATCAGCCAAAAGACGTCCTGAACGAGCGGCAGGGAAAAAAATGTTGGACGATTCAAAAATTTGAATAAAGATTATTTTGACTTTGACTTTGATTCTGTTTTATAGTATTTGTTGTTATTTTGCACAGTTGATGTATTTCTGTTGCCGCATCAGAAATAATTACTTCGTCTGTGGTAATTTCAGCTGTGTAACTATGACGGTTCATGAAACTATGTTTATTGACAGATGGACGGACAGAGGAGTTATTGTAATAGGATTAAGTTTTTACCCGTTCAGTGCGGAACCTTAATAAATAAATATTTATGAGATATAATGATCGACTTACTTGGAAGAGGCCATAGTATTTTCTTCTGGAAGACTTTACTACTAGAGCAGAAGTATTTCTATCACTTTCTTGTTCTATTAAACAGACCCCTGTTGAAAACAAAAAAAAATATCTGTTTATATTGTCTAGGGTCCGTGATATGGATTTAACACTTAAGCAAATAAACTTAAACGTTAACTTAAATATGTAACAAATTTAAGTAGACAAATAGATACAGTGATATAAGAATGCATTAGCTCCTAGCCTTGTCAAGGCCTGCGATTCTGTTAATCCAGACCCGAATTCAAATTCACGTTATTGAGTGTAGAAATCCTTTTGGTTCCATTTTTTGTATGAAAATACGAAACAAAATTGATTGAATATACGTGTCTCAGATATTCTATTCCTATGTCATTTCGAAACTCACTTCACTTATGCCACAAAACGTTATCACCAATTCAAAGTTGAACGGATGGCGCCTTTAAAAGTGAATTCGAACACCTGAATGAATTCTAATTCAGGTTTAGATTTTTATAGAATCGCGGGGCAGGTGCGAATTTGTTACAAATGCAGACGCCATTTGAAAATTTAATAATGCAAATAGGTATTTATTTCATTTATTTTTAACACTATTCCTTACCAACGAGCACTGTATTATAGCGAAACGCGTCTCGTTCGATTTGATATATTGTAAAATTCATAGTGCCCTAGTCCACTAAGAAATACGTATGTTACATAAAGAATACGTAAGTTGGAGTAAGATCGACAACGAAGAAATTTGAAATTGTATATATGTATTATATTATACATATGTATGAAGTATATGTGTAGGTATTTATTATAATTATATGTTCCTAATTATATGTATGTTTGTATTATTCTATTTTTTTTCTCTTAAAACGATTATGAATGCACCTGTTTATTTTAATCTAAACATCACCTAAAGGTAGACTGGTAGTGAATGCCTAAGGCATTAAGTCCGACTTTGTACGATTGTTCATAAGGAATTAAATAAATAATAAATTGACAGATATCTAAAATTATAGACTAAAATTGAAGGTGAAGATCGATTGCAGTAATTCTGATATTTTACAGCAACCTGACCCTGTAGTCTTTAAATCATTATATAATGAACTGGTCTGTCCTGCTCTCACTTAGATGTTTTAAATATCATAGAGGAAGACAAAGCACGATGAAGTCGACGATATATCCAAAATATTTGCTCGCATCTCATAAAGATTAAGCAGACCTTATTTTTCATATTGTTTGCTTATTATTATCTATTTAAAGCACAAGATAAGATAAGCTTGCTAAACATTCAACGAAAAATTCACCAGCCCCCATTCACCATTCCTACCTCGTGATAAGACTTGAACCCACAACCTTAAGAAATCCGAGCGACTGCTTACCAAGGGTACCGTGGACTAGTAAATTCTTTAAGCATTTTTCATTAAAGAAATTTCTCAGTGTTGCATTGTGAATGAAAAATTGACTAAATATGTCATATATTACGTCCGATATGCATCGCTTAGCAACCTGAGTTTGTTATGTCATTCTCAATAAATTATGAAAATAGTTACTTAATATTAGTTACGTGTATTATTTAATATATAACAAATTGGCGACGAGGATGGGATACGAACCCACGCGTGCATAGCACATTGGATATTACACAAGCATACTTAAACATTGAAATGGACGAAGAAAGTTCATTGTTACAAACTCTAAGCACTCACAAAGGGACATACAAAGTCAATAGATTAATGTTTGGTGTCAAAGTAGCACCAAGTATCTGGCAAAAATTTATGGATCAACTCTTACAGGGAATAGAAGGTGTGAAGTGCTTCTTTGATGACATTATTATTCAGGGAACTACAGAAAATCAACTTTTGATACGTTTGCGACAAGTCCTACAAAAATTAAAAGAGAGTAATCTAAGAGTGAATAAAGAAAAGTGCCAATTTTTCAAAAACTGTATTAACTATCTCGGACATACTATAGATAAAAATGGATTACATAAGAATAAAAACAAGGTGATAGCAATTACAAATACGGAGCCACCCAAAAACGTCGCTGAATTGAGAATATTTCTTGGAATGGCAAATTATTACAACAAATTTATTCCAAACTTAGCCACCATCACAAGCCCCTTAAACAACTTACTTAAAAAAGAAGTTCCGTTTATCTGGTCAACAAAATGCCAAGCAAGTTTTGAAAGAATAAAAAAAGAAATTCTCAGCGAAAGGGTGCTTACCCATTTTGACCCCTCCAAACCACTACTTCTCGCTACAGACGCTTCGCCATACGGTCTTGGTGCAGTCCTCTCTCATAAGTATTCAGATGGATCAGAAAGACCGATTGCGTTTGCTTCAAGGTCATTAACTTCTAGTGAAAAAAAATACAGCCAGATAGACAAAGAAGCGACTGCAATATTTTGGGGCTTAAAGAAATTTTTCCATTACTGCTATGGTAGGAAGTTTACCTTGATTACAGATCACAAGCCATTAACTTCAATATTTCACCCGAACCAGACATTACCTGCCCTCAGTACAATGCGTTTATTCCACTACGCTCATTTCTTGTCCGGTTTTGACTACACCATAGAATACCGTACATCGACCAATAATTCAAACGCTGACTATCTATCTCGATTTCCTGTTGAAAAAGTAAAAGAAAATGCAATAGACCAACATAGCGCATACCAAATTCAACAATTAAACACTTTACAAATCAATCCCGAAACAATTGCTCATGAAACAGGTAAAGACATAGAACTAAAAACATTACTAGAAGCATTAAAATCTGGACGTTCGTTGAAAGAATACGGGCTAAATGATAATGAATTTACCCTACAAGACAATTGTATTTTCAAAGGTAGTAGAGTCACAATACCTCAGAATTTACGGAAACGCGTACTCGAAGAACTTCATTCGGGCCACATCGGTATACTCAAAATGAAATCACTTGCACGTAGTCACGTATACTGGAAAAACATAGACCGAGATATTGAAAACAAGGTGAAATCTTGTCGCTCCTGTCGTCTCGAACAAAACGAACCAGCCAAAGCACCTCTTCACCACTGGGAAAATCCAACAGGTCCATGGCAAAGGATACATGTGGATTTTGCTGGTCCAATCCGAGGGCAATATCTGTTTATAATAATTGATGCATTTACAAAGTGGGCAGAAATTTTTCCCACCCGAACTACAACAAGCAATTGGTGCATTAAAAAATTGCAAGACTTATTTAGTACATTTGGCATGCCATATACACTTGTGTCTGACAACGGTCGACAATTCACTTCAATAGATTTCAAAAATTTTCTAACAGATTGTGGCACCGCTCATAAAACCACAGCCCCATACCATCCTGCAACTAACGGTCAAGCAGAAAGATTCGTGCAGACTATAAAAAGAGCGCTTCACGCTATGGAAGGTGAGAGTGGCGACTTGACAGACAAAATAACTCTTATTAAAAATCGCTTAAGGCGCACCCCGGGCCCAGTGGACAAACACCTTATCAATTAATGTTCGGTAGAGATATAAGGACGAAATTACACTCAATGTTTAAAAAGATACACAACACCACTCAATCACAATCCAACAATGGGCCCATAAGATCTTTCGTTCTAGGAGATAGAGTACAGGCAAGAAGCTACTCTAGTCCTCGCCGGAAGTGGACGTTTGCCACTGTATTGCAACGCCTAGGGAAATTGCACTATGTAGTACAAACTGACGATGGTTTAAAGTGGACTCGTCACTTAGACCAACTGCTGCCAGCATCCCAGGTTCCACAGCCAGGAATCGCCGCGGAGGCGTGTCATATATTACGTCCGATATGCATCGCTTAGCAACCTGAGTTTGTTATGTCATTCTCAATAAATTATGAAAATAGTTACTTAATATTAGTTACGTGTATTATTTAATATATAACAAAATATAACATTCGATAAAACTTTAACTCGCCTTTGCATGAAATCATCTAAAATTTTAAATTGACTTACGGACCCCGAAATATACCTAACATTTCTTAAAAGTCTGATAACCTCACCCTCGTTTATTTTATAAAGCTTTCTCTCTACTTAAATGTGATAATGTTTAAAACAAACAAACTGATTTTAGTAAAAGAAAGTAGTCTTATCTTATTATATTATGAGAAAAGATAAAAATATTATAAACACGCTTTAATAAATAATACACACGTAAAATAATTTTACAAGATAATTTGCTTAACAATTTGTTCTAGACAACCTTTATTTATATATACAAAAAATTAAAGTAATAATAATAAATAATAATTCACGAATGTTTTGAGTAAATTTGCTGAAATATTTATTTAATATTTATTGCAGTATAGCTGTATAGTGGATTTAATGCTATACAGCATTCTCTACCAGTCAACCAGCAAGGTGTCTAATAGAAGTGCTACTACGACAACGATATCATAATTATCAGCAGCCTTTTAATGTTGCCACTCCTGGGACTCAAACCATCTCTATGAATAGAATCGACTCAAATTGAATAGGGATAATGAGCTATTTCATTGCAGCCAGGACCAACGGCATATGTCTTCCGAGGAAGGAAAGAGCTCGAGATAATACATTTTTGGTCACCCATCCTATGACAGGCTCTTGCGAAAGTGACTTAACAACGGTAGCTGAAATATGACAGTGATTGTTGAATATGTCATAAACGAATTATGCCGACTAAGCTCGTTACATGTAAATAAGTCAAGGACTACTAGACAAGATACATTACACTAATTTCATTGTGCTACTATCTATTTTATCAATGCTATTCTTTTATAAAAACACTGTCTAACTCGACGTAAAGCGCAACGCTGTTCATTTAAATAAAACCTATTGCAGAATAGATGAACAGTGGGTTAATTTTCAAATTTTTAAATTTATGGCCTTCCCTATCAAAAATATAACTATTGTAATAGCGGTTTATGGACTAATGTAAATTTTAAAAGTCGCAGTCGCTTTTGAACTAGTGATGATAATTTCAAACGATATACTAAAATCTTAGTTAAACCCGTCGAAAGATTTTAGTAAGAGTTGATTTCTTTCGCTTGAAATAGCTTTTAAGAATTTACCGCCTTATAAAAG